GATCTTTCTTCCATAAAGGAATTTGATGGAAACCAGAGTAGGCGTCCATAAAGCTCATCAAAGCATGGCCGGCTGTTGAGTCGACCAGGTTATCAATTTTAGGCAGAGGGTAACTGTCTTTGGGGCACGCCTTGTTTAAGTCTGTGTAGTCTACACACATTCGCCAGGTGCCATTCGGCTTTTTAACAAGCACCACATTTGCAACCCAGTCTGGGAAGTAACATTGCCGAATGAACCCTGCATCAAGTAATTTTTTAACTTCGGCGGCTGCCGCCTGACTTCTTTCTTCGCCATGGTTCCACTTCTTCTGCCGTACCGGCTTCTTTTTCAGATCCACGGCCAGTTTATGTACCGCCAGATCAGGACTAATGCCTGGCATTTCATGGACTTCGAATGCAAAGATGTCCTTGTATTCTTTCAATAGTTTGTGAAAGTCGTCACCCAGGTCCCTTAGAGCAGTCGTCCCAACCTTGATTGTTCTGTCAGGACGCGAGTCATCTAACATCAGGTCCGTATGCTCACCAGCTGGCTGAGGGCGGAATTCATCCGACCGCTCCTCTACCAATGATTGCTATTTTCTGTCTTTTCTTGCGGCCCCTATCTGGGATGCCTTTCTCTTCTTGCCGCCTGCTTCTTGAACAGGCGCACTCTCCTTGACATTGTCAAGGTCTATTTTTCCACCACTCGACCCAGTGGCCATAACAGTGGGCTTGACATCCGAGAGATAACTTTCTCGGGCCATCCTCTAATCTCCCCTTAGGGACCCGATTGTTCCATTATCCCTCTCAAACTTGAGCAACATAAGAGATGGGATTATAACAGCCTTGGAATTATTCAGGGTTGGTCGTCCCAGAATCATGTTGTAGGCCGAGAGTTCTTCTACTACCAGGAACCGGACTACCATGTGTCGTCCTTCCCCTTTTTCGCCCTGGCGGATGGGTAAATCCACTCGTCCCACTGGGTGGACAACTCCTCCTCCAAACCCTACTAAAGGGTGGGATGCCGGATGTATGCAATCAGTCTGATATTTTAGTTTCGACAGACATTTGCTACTGATGAGATCTGAGGAGCTTCCGGTATCTATGAGGATTCGGCCAACTCTCTGGTTGGCCACTTTACATTCAATAACGATAGGGTCGTCATGCGACCCTCTTACCCCTCCTAGATCTTCTTCAGTGATGACAATCTCAGGAAATGAATATTTGGAGGGCCGTTCTTGGTGAACGGAATTTACATCTAACCGTCTGATATTGTCTTTATTGCCCCTAATAGTGGGGCCGCCTCCTGAGAAGCCGCCTGCAATGGTGTAGACGACTGCATCATCTGTATCGGAGCTGTCGGCCTGTTGATTCGTTTTGGTCGACTGCTTTTTCGAGGAAGTGTTCCCCGTAGATTTCTTGACATAAGTGTCAAGATCACCTTGCTCAGCCAGGCGGTCCAGATACCGCATGAGACTGATGCATTCATTGGTGTGATGACCAACATCTTCATGATAATCACAGAATTTTTCTTGGTTCCGATTGTTTGCAGAACCCTTCATGGGGACCGGCTTCTCAATTGAGATCCGTCCCTTGATTTCCTTTAGGATAAATTGGCTATCCTTGTTAAACACATACTTTGGGGAGTATGGTTTGAATTCTTTTTTCTTCTTCTGGGACGGCTGTTTAGAGGAATCAGTTGCCCAGACCTCTTTTCTCTTCTCGTCTTTGTTTGACGACTGCTTCTGTCGTCCTTCTCTTTTGTCGGACCTTTTCCCGTCTGACTGTTTTACCGTACTACAAAGATCAGTCGCCTGTATATAGGCTTCCGCTTCAATCAAGGCCTCTTGAAGAGTCGCCACCCTCTTTCGGACCAAATCAAATTTGAAGGTCGACCCGTCTTTGAGACCTCTGAAAAAGTCAGTATAGGCTACTTCATCCGGTAACCCTTGAATCTGTATTCTCATCAGGTTAAACCGCATGATGTAAGAACGAAGCCCCTCCTTCTCGCCCTGCTGAATTGTTCCTAAATCAAGGGTCGTCTTCTTCGCAGGGATGTTCATGGCGAAGTTGGAGGTGAATAAGTAAGCAAGCGTCTTGAAGTTATTTACACAACCAGTCGGCAGGTTGCCGAACCATTGTTGTGCGATTCCTTTGAGAGTCGCTGGGAAACACTTGCACCAAGTGGGATCATCCAACCCTTGAAGGTACATCAGGTTGGTGAATGCCATCAGATGGTCTTCTGGGTTAGTAGTGCCGTCATAGGCTCGCTTCCAGTTTGAAGATGTTCCCGTTCCCTCCTTTCAGTATGACGGGTACGTCTGGCCCTTAGGGTTCCGTCTGAAGCTGTGTGAGCTTCAACTTCAAATTCATTCTCAGTATCGTGGTCCGACTGAACTAGAGGGTTGTCCAGGGGACGTCTCTCTTCAGGAGTCAGTACAAACGTGGATGCCATCTCAGAAGTACTCTCCCCACAGACGGCGCCAAGATGTTTCGGGGTTTTCTGATGTCCCGCGGGAGAGTTACAATTCCGAGACTGGAACCGGACGCCTGTACCTGCAAAACAAACGGATGCTCCGGATGGTTGGAGATCCGCCTCCGACGGTCAAGTTAGTACTTGATTAAGGAGTAATTAATGCAGAAATTAAAGTGATTGGGTCTCTCTAGGTGAGAGTTTAATGTGTGTAATCTGCGTTGTTCGCGTCCCCCCCTTAATGAGGATTAAGGGAGGTATTTATAACCTCGGGAAACGTGCCAATCTAGGTTTAGGTTAACCTTGGGCTGATTGGGCTTCCCTCGGAAGTTGGCCTTAGGTGACCGGTTATCCTAGGTGTCATGGGAAGGACACGTGTCGTGTCGTAATTGGTCCATAGTGGACGGATCATTGCTTGAGACGTGGCAGGCTCCTATTGGCCCATGTGACGGACACATGGCGGAACCTGATTGGTCCACTTGTCAAATGGTGATTGGTAGGGAAAAATCCCCTAATCAGTTATTTTGTGAAATAGGGAAAATTTAGTTTTTTTTTTTGTTTTTTTCAAATTTATATTCTGCCTCGTGAAGAGGTGATGACATTGGTTGGTGAAGAATTTATATCAAGCCGTATTATGGACTATTTTTATATTTTGCTTAATTATTTTGAGATGCAAAAGGAGGATGCTGGTTTGAAGATTTATTTTGGTGGTGAATTTTTGGTAATTAACTTATGATGAATATTACTTTTTGTTTTCATTTATATTTGTTTTCCTCATTTGAATTGTTTTATTTGTCTAGTATCCTTTATCCGTTTTATATATATGTAAAAGGAAGCTCTAATGAATTAGAAGTCTTTAGAGCTTGGGATTATTGGCTTCAATCTGTTCAAACAATGGAGTTTCTAGATGCTATGCTGGTAGTTAATTTGATATTTTTCTGTGTATGCATATTTTCATTACAATTTTTTAATAGCTATGAGATTTGATTTTGTGTTTTTTTTTCCACGGATTTTTATTCCAATTTACTATGGGAATCACTATTCTGTTGTTGTCAAAAACTTTTATACCAACACTGTTGATTATTTGGATAATAGACGGTATTATTTGGGTGTTGGAAGAAATTGCACTTAGACATTTGATGGTCATCATACATATTAATATACATTCACTTGGCACTTAGTATTTATTATATTGATTTGGTAATTAAGTTTAATTCTTACTTATATTTTATCCTTCTAATTTTTTTTCCTGTAATACACATAGACTTCTCATGTCAAATTACATGGTAAGGAAGAACCATGATCAAGGTCATCATGTCAAGGAATTTGATATTCGTATGCTACAACTTTATTCTCAAGATTGTCTAAAGAATTCAGATTGTGGGGTCTTCTGTTTGTATCATTGTTTGTCGTATCAAGGTCAAGATTTTTAATGTAAAAATTTAACTAAGGTAATGTTGTTATTTTTTAATTCCTTATTTATTCTTATTTTTTTATTTAATGTTTATTTATGACCTTAATTTGTTTTGTATTTGTAGGCAGTTGAGCGACGTCGATATCGAGCTGAAATATGTGCTTAATCGGTTTTGTGCAACTTTAACTTAGTACGGGATGAGGTTGTTAAGATTTATAAGTTTACTGAAAACAACAAAGATTTGTATGAGGAAGTGATGTTAAATGAAGAGATTGATCGTCAAGAACTACTTGCCTTGGCAGAAAAAGAAGCATAAAAAAGGGCTAAACAAAAGGCAGAAGAAGCAGCATCAGTGGCTGCTACTATTGAGGCGGATAAACAGGCAGATTAAGGTATAGTGAAGGGAAGGAAGGCAACGACAAAGAAGTCAGAAGCCCCAAAAAAAGTGGGCACTCGTAGAAAGTAAGAATGTATTTTCTTTTATGTTAAGATGCTAGGTTTTTTTTTTTTTTTTTTTTTTTTTTTTTTTTTTTTTTTTTTGCAAAATAAGAACAAAGTTACTATTTGCTAGTTTGAACAATATTTATGTGTTTTTAATAGTAAAGTTGTAATCACATTGATATATATTGTCTATTTTCTGTTAATATATATAGTAATTTGTTTTCTTTTGTTATTTTTAAGTTATATTCTTTATTCATAATAGGGGTTACTTATTAAGAATAAAGTTGGTTACTTAATAGTATGATAGTTGTTACTTATGCTAGCTTATAGTGGTTACTTAATATAGATTATGTGGTAAGTTATGTTTTATCACTGTATTTACTTAATTACTTTATAGTTAGAGATGGGTTACTTAAAAGCAGTTTAGAAATTACTTAATGGCATAATATCAATTACTTTATAGTATGATAGAGTTTACTTAATAGCATTAGAAGTATTACTTAATAGTTAGAGACACTACTACAAAATGAGTAAAATTTCGACGCTTAATAGTATCTCGACGCTTTTGTGGGTCGGCATTAATTTTTGACGTGAAAAAGCGTCGAGAATGTTAGCATGTGCCACACACATGATTGTAATTAGCTCAACCCACTATTTCAGGTTTAGTTTAGGAATATTAAAACCGCCCAAAGCAAAACACGAAACCCCTCTCATTTCTCAGTTCTCAACCCTAACTATTCATCTCTATTTTATCCAGATACAAAATTCTGCAATGAGGTTTAGAACTTCATGAATTTCACACTCGGATCTTGTTTCTCCTTGCACTACTCATATGCTTGCTGAATTTCTCTATTCGCCTTCAATGGTTTTCCATTTTATCCCTTTCTTTGCCGATAATATTGAGGTACCTTGTTTCTTTTTTCGCTTCAATTCTTGTTTTGTCGAATTTGAGTCCTTTAGATTGTTTTTAGAAGTAATTTCACGAAATTAGTGTCAGATATGAGTTTGATTCATGATCGATACATATTTTAGGGTTTCTTTTTGTTTTACTATTTGAATAAAATTCTGAATAAATAGCCTTTTTTGTTCTTTGTATGAATGAAGGAAAATTTCAAGCTCTTTAATTACTCTTGTACAGTTTTAATTTATTAATTGGGATTCTGTTTTGCAGTTTTTAAGAATGAGTATAGAAATTGCATAAATTGGTTTTGGATTTTTTGGGGTTCAATTTAATTGAATACTAGGGGTACTATAGTGGCGCTTATCTGTGTTTAGATAATCAATAAAACAAGAAAATTGCTTGCATTTCAGCATTCAATGAATGTAATTCATGGACAGAGAGAGAGTGAGAAAGGTTACTGGTAAGTAGTGCCGTGGGTAGTGAGGAAGGGGGGGGGGGGGGGAATTTATTCCTGGCATAAAAGCGCTATAATTGTTCTTCTAGTGTACCTTGTTGAAGTAGATTAATTTGCTATTAATTAAATCGTCTTAATATTGATGTATCATCAAAAAGATTGTTTTTTCATTGAATATAGGAATTCTTTTGTTATTGAGGTTTTGGTAAAAAGTGAAAAACGATACCTAAATTGAAGATTATGGATTAGGTTTTATATTTAATCAGATTATGGCATATTTTGCTGACATTTTGTTGAATGCAGGAACATTTTCATTCCAACTTTGATAGAGATGCTATAAAGGGCTCTTGAATCTTCAAAAGGTATTTCATTGGCAAATGGGCTAAGAGTTTATTTTTTGGGAACTTTATACATACAACTATTTCTCTGAATTAAATAAATTATTGTAATGGTTTTGCTTTTGCTACATAGCTTATTGAACTTAATAGGTAATTAGGGAGTAGTAATAAGTGGATGTCTACTAATCCATTGTATGTACTACGCACATATGACATGCTTAAGTAAGAAAATTCGACAAATATTATACCTGGAATTGATTTTCCATGTAAGAAGGGTTAGTGCACCGTGCCCCTATGGCTGCTTCAAAGCCAGTGATATATCTATTATTTTTTAACTACTGTTTTCTATTGAGTTGTGCAATTTCTGTCTTCTTTTTAAGGTTTATCTAAAATGTGTTAACTCTTGTTGCCAGCTTGTCATCTTTAGACTTCATAACGGAAGAGGTATTTGTTTTACCCTTATATATTTGTTCATTTTAGAAGAATGAACAACAATACTTTGGGTTTAATCACGCCACTTGTTATTTTATTTCCATCACATAGTTGGGTGCAATTTTTAGTGTCAGGATGGTGGTGGTACGGATAAAGCACCTGCATCAAAACACGAGCCCATGATAAAACAGGTATGAAAACTTGGACCTGACTATGTCAACAGGATTCTAATATAAGTTTCTTATCCCTTTTCAGTTCATTTATCCATTTGAAATAAGACTGACATAAATAGATTGGTTAGTAAGCATACTAAGTACTAGGTAATTGAATCTTTTATCAAATATGGTGACTTTATTGCAAATTTTGTTTGATGGGCAGAGCATTTGGTCTGTAGTTGACAGTGAAAAGCAAATTAATCTTGGAAAGATTCTACCTATTAGTTTATGGAGTATATTAGGCACTTCAACTTAATCTTTTTGACAGCGACTTCAACCTAATCAAAATGAAATAAGACAATATTTAACATGTTTAGAGGATCCATGGACTTTGTGATTTTGATTCTATGTAATATTTTGACAGGAGGTGCTACTAACTCTTGTTGGGGAAGTTAATCAAGTGGCCCCTGTGATGAAGAAGAAATTTAGTCGTAAATAGAGAGTAAGAAGATCCTGGGATTGAACAGACGATCTTGGTGAGTCTGAAATAGTACTGATTATCCTCTCTAAGGAAATTCGTCATCAATGAGGTCTGCTGCTCTCTTTTACACATGTTTGTTTTCTCACATGTCTTTGTTTCCCTGTTATTCTGCCTGAAAATCTGAAATTGAGGTCCTTATGGTGCTTCAGTGTAAGATATTTTCAGAAATTTATTGAATCAAGAATGTATTGTTCGATTCTGTAAATGTGCTAGAAAAATTTGTATTTTGGAAAAATTTCAGAGCTGAATTCAGAGCTGAATTTCTGATCTGAAGTTCAGAACTGAATTTTAGATCTGAAAATCAGATTTGATACATTTATACTTAAGTCTTTGCTTAGCATACTAATCTGATTTCAATATGTGTTTGATCTTTCATATAATCAAGTTCACTCTTAAGTTCTTGTATGCTTAAAGCTTATTTACAATTGGTGAATGAAATGACTATTTTAAGTTGTTAATAATCTGATAGGATTAATGTGCTTCAAACGCATCTGAATGCACACAAATTATATCTGATGTGTTAGTATATTCTGGTATTAATTCAATTAATGTTGTTAATCAAATTGGTAGAATTTTGTGTCTATCTGATGGGTTTTTGTATCTAGTTGATCTGCAATTGTTACAACCTGTGAAAAAGTTAGGGATTCTAAAGGGTGTTAATGTTGTTGCTAGAAGGGTTTGTAGTGAATCTGAAAATTCTAATTGGATCAATAAACAACGAGTTAGTAGTAGTGGAAGTAGTGTAGGTGGGAGGCTTATGAAAAAGTTAGGTGGCGGGGTTAGATTGAATGGGGTGAGGTTTAAGGAATTCAGTTCTAGGGGAGTGGATAATGATGGTACCTACCTTTTTGTGGTGGCAATGGGGAAGAAAGTGGTGTTCATTGAGCTGAATTCAGGCAGTAGTAAGCATGATCGAGAGGTCGATGGGAAACGTGGGTTGTTCATGGTTTTGAAGGAAATGTCGTGTATTGATGGTGTGAAGAGTATGGCTTGGCTTGATGATTCATTGATTTTAGGGACTTGTAATGCTTATAGTTTGATGTCATGTATTACAGGGCATGTTGATTTGATATTTTCATAGGGTGTAACAATTGCAGATCCATGCAGATCAATTGCTGAGTTGGTGGTATCCTGGTATTTGGTAATTCTGGTATTTGATTGCAGATTAACTAGATACAAAAACCCATCTGGTAATTCTGGTATTTACAATTCATGTTGTTTGCCTAACACAGCTGCTATTCCTTGTCTCAAATTGTTGTCAAAAGATAAGAAGGTGCTTCTACTAGTTGATCATGCGGGCATTGTAGTGGATAATCATGTGTTCTCCTCATTCGATTGGTGAGTTATCTTCGTATGTGGTGATTTCTAGTAATGGAAAGATGGAATTCTAAGCTTGTTTGTGTGTGTATGTGTGTGTGTATAAGCCTATATTGTGTAATGTACTAATTTATACTTTGTATTTTTTTTTTTTTGAAGATTGGAAAAAGCAATGTAGCTGCAACAAGAGAATAGACTGGGACACTTGAGCATTCAAGGCCTATACATATGGATATCCCTTTCAAAGATATTTCCAATGGTATATTATAAGCCCAATTCCGTGCCAAAACGAAGAAGTTATGATCAAAACACTAAACCGGGCCCTAAAACCGACACCCTTGCATTCCAACGACCATAACTTTTTATCCATTACATATTTTTACCTTAATTTAACGGCATTGGAAAGTAGACATTTAGAGATTTCCAATGATACCTCACACGCCTGAATCCGACTTAGCAATCAAAAGTTATGGAAGTTTTAAACACGTGCTATCGTATAAGGCAAACCGCAAACCAGAGCAACTCAATCAACTGTGCGTGTCTTGCGCGTGACTCATAGAGATGCGCGCGGCACCCCAGCGAGACTCTGAGAGTTGCGCGCGCCACCTGACGGCACGGCTCTAAAACCCTAAACCTAGATCCCTACGCTTATAAATAGGGGTCTTCGTTCAGCATTACGGGGACCGAAAAATTCAGAATTAAAACCCTATTATTCTCAAAACCCTAATCTCTCAACTTTTCTTACTATCATACTACTTTTTCTTCTCTCTTCCCAAATACTTTCCAACCCTAATTGAATCTATTGAAGTCCTCGGAGGTACAAAGAAGAAAGAAAGTCCATAAACACATTAAACGGAGATTTAACATAAAAGAAGAACAGTTAGTTTCTTGAGCACTTAGATAAATCACTTTTCTTTTATTATTTAAATAACTTTAATTGATTAATTAGTGTTGTTTGATCATTTTAAAAAAAAATTAATTAATTAATTCACATAGTACTCTTTCGTTAATCAAGACTAGAATTTGAATAATTAATTGTTGTTTTATCACTTAAGACAAGGTGAATCTTATTTTTTATTGTTCTTTCACGAACATTTTTCAATAAGAATAATGACTTTTGCATATATTGTTTTAGGTAATGAAATTGTGAAAAGGAAGTGCTAGTAAGGCCGGACTAGGGCTAGAATAGCGATTCCTCCCTAAAAGGAACGTTATTTTAGTACCCTCGCTCCCGAACTCATTTCTGGTTTATGTATACCTATTTGGGAATGGGTAAACTTATGATTTGTGCTAATTATTCCATGAACCCCACATGGAATAAAGGAATGAACGAGGTTTATGAGTTTTCCTAAAACTCACTGGCGACTCCTACTTGTTTCTTACAAAAAAGTGTGATGGGAGTATCATTTCTAATTCAAGATCTCCCAAACAGTTAGGAATTCAAATCCTAATACACCCTAATAAGTGTAAAGTCCTAGGCTTTTAAGTGGCCAAGGGCATTTAAGGAGAGTACCCCTTACAATGGGATCACCCTCCTTACAATAGGCGACTTTGGGGTTTAAAGGGCTTGTTGTAGCTAAAAAAATCCGTGATTCTTACGTTATTGAGTCTTAGTGTATATTCCCATCTTATGTCTTTCTTTTTTCCTTTTTAAATAAGTCTTTCATCCTTAAATTTTTTTTGCTTAGTTTTGTTCGAGGACAAGCAAAAGTTTAGCTTGGGGGAATTTAATGAGTGTCATTTATGGCACTCATTTGATTCTTTTAGAGTGAAATTCATTCTATTTTATAGCTCTTTCAAAGTTTTTCCTTTGTTTAACACTTTATTTCCTTAGTTTGCATTTTCTTAGTTGATTTTCTATTTTAATGCATTTCTTGGTTTTTCTTGTCTTTTTCCCTTTTATTTATTTGTTTTCTTTCATTTTTAAGGTTAAGGTCGTTATCCAATGATTCTCGAGACCCCTTCCCGAGTTTGGCATTGATTAGGATAACTAATGTTCTCTATTTGAAGCTCAAGCATGGAGAAGTGCAAGTTCTATTTGACTTTGGGCCGTGCATTCCAGCCGTTGGGGCACAAATTCTCGTGTTGAACCCACCATCGTGGTGATTTTGAGTCTGCCATGTCCCGTGTTTATCAAAAGCATTAAGTGCAGCATCAAAGTGAGAGTAAACCCTCTCTTGCAATATCAAACTGACTTCACCTCTTTTGCTATCATTTCAACATCAATTTCAATTGCCAACATCAAGTTTTCAAATCTAAAATACAAAAATTTCAGAGTTCTTTCCCCAATTTAATAAAAAAAAAAATGGGACTTTTCAAAATTTTGAAGTTTTGTGTTGAGGTTTGGGGCTTGTTTTTGGGAGTTTTATATGTTCTTACACCTTCATTTTGAGAATTTTTCAAGCATTTCAAGGCTTCATTGAGGTATGGTTTCTTATTGTCTATTCATCATCTTCCTCTTTGATTTAAGCTTGAAACTTTATGCTTTCATGGTGAAACTCTATGGTTAGTTCTTTTCACTTGGAATTTATGTTGAATGATATCGTTGGGTGTTGAATTGAAGTTTCCTCATGATAAATGTGTGACCTTTGATTGAATTCGTGAATAACAATTGTTGGCTATTTTCTCTCTCATGGGTTTGTTTTATTTAGTTTCATATCTTCGATAATTCAATGTTTGGGATTTATTTTGCTCAATTTGACTCATGATTTGGTTTCTTATGTTCAAATTTGCCTTCAATCCATGTTTATTTGCTTAATATTCATGATGTTATCAATGTCATTGTTCATTTGTTACCATTTCTTGCTTCTATTGTGAAATATTTCCATTTTGTGGTTGTTTTTTAACAACTACTTATGCTAAGTCTTGATACTTTGTCGATGGCTACACATTGTCATAAGAAGAGAGCTAGAGCTAGTTCAAGCAGGCCGAGGTATATTGTTTCGCCTACACCCGAGGTTTAGGAAACTTATGGCATTGAGTTTTCAAAATAATCTAATTTGGAGTGTTTCAAACGTCTTTCCAAGAGAAAGCTTCGACCAATGCGTTTCTACGATCAAACGACAACAAAGTTTGTAGGGATTGATGATGTTGTTCGCCTTCTTGCTGAAGGCCTCGATCTTTTAGAGTTCTTTGATTTGAGTGCCCCTACTTATGCTAGGGTGACTTATGAATTCCTTTCTTCTCTCGAAGTTGTCCATGAGTCGGGTGCAAATTACTCAAAGATTTTGACTTTCCAACTCTTCAACAATGATCACTCATTGACGGATGCTCAACTATGTTCATATTTTAAGTTTCCTTGGGCTGAGGATCCGAATCATTGTATCGATCCGGCTCATAGTAGAATGGCAAGCGAACATAGATATTATGAGCAACATTGGTGGAGGAGTATCTCGGAGGAAGGAAAGTAAGACCCTCAAACCTCAAAGTCCGCTTCCATGATTCATCCAGCTATGCGGTATTTCAACCGAATCCTCACATACGCTCTTTGCTCTAAGGAATCTTTGGGGGCTATCTCCCGTGAGGAGCTTTGTTGGTTGTGGATAGCTGACCAAAAAGACTTTGCTCACGATTCGATTTCACGGAGCATTTGACCTTTTTGAATTTTTGTTTTCCCAAATAAATTTTCAGATTCTCAATAACCGTTTGGATAATACACGTATATACATAAATATTTCCAAAAGGAATAAATTAAGATTCGACTTCTTCTTGACTCGAACTTGTTCTTGCTTATTGGCTAAGGGATGGTAAACGAACCTCCTACAAGACCAAAATCAAATATTGACAAGAACAAAGAAAATATTTGATGTTCTAAATCAACTTTGAAGAATAAAATCACCGCAATGATCTTTACAAACGTTTAGAAATTAGGTAAGATTACTAATCCTTAAACACAATCGTTTTTGGTCTATAAACAAGCAAAAAACTAACTTGCTTTCTTGAAAATAACTTTAATTAAAACGTGAAAGTCATATCACTATCCTAAATATTTAAAAAGACAAAAATAGGATATATACATAGGTCCATCTCAATATCATATGTATGGCCTAAACAATAGCAAGTCATTAGAATTTACTCCAATTGGGGCTCCAAGACTTGCGAAATAGCAAGAATGCGCATACCCGACACATGGGGGCTCCAATATCAACAACAAAAAAAAAACACACAAAAACAAAATGAGATTTTCGTGCTATTCGAGCTACTTTTGAGAATCACCTAAACTACAAATGGTTTACGTAGATCTCGAGACTTACAATTTTTAAACACATCACAATGATTTAATAATCATTTTGTTCTTTTGAAAACTAAGTTTGCAACTGAACTTGGTAATTAAACAGGTTACATACTCGAGCCATATTCAAGTTCAACTTAAAAAACTAATCTTAGTGTATAATTGTTGTTCTAATACTTCAATTTACTATAGAGATTAGAGAGTAGGACTAGTATACAACAAAAGAAACAAAATCATGATGCATAAAACATACTTGCTCATACGAAAGTTTAGTACTCAATCATTCATCATGAAAATTGTATCAAGACACATTATTTCATGAGTTAGAATGTAAACAAAAGACTCCTAAATTCTAAATTAAGGAGTCTTCATTATTCTCCATTGTTCCACACATTAGAATTTCGCATGGAGGATAACATCTACTTTCTCGAGATTCAAACAGTGACAAAATTTGAACTTAATTGAAGGAATTCAAATGTAGCAAGAATAGGCGAAAAAATTGGAAAACATGTCATTTTTCCCTTACTTGTTCAAATGAATGGCCAATATTACTATAATTAGAAAAATTCTTTGTTAAAACTATCAAATGGTCAAAAAACGATTTAAACACACTAGTTTAATCGTTTCCAAGATCCTAGTCGTTATCATAATAAGACGAAACACAGGATTTGTATATCCAATTCAAGCAACATGAAAGGGTCTAATTATTGACAACAAGCAAATCATTGAAGTCACCAAACACTGGGGCTACAACATTCGAAAATGTAAAATGTGGGCTTATGAACCCGAAATATAACACAGCTACACCAGTTCGATGATCTCTTCAAGAATCTCCTAAACTAACTAGTTTTGTGCAAATCTTGAAATCACAGTTTTATCAGTGAATAATAATAACCATCGGTTATTTTTATCATTGATAAAACCAATTTTGCAACTTACGCATGAAAAAAATAATATATAATAATAAACATAAGTCGCAAGAACAAATTCATGCTATTATAAAAGTTCAAAATTCCATTGATAATTTTAATGCATAATTGTTGTTCTAAACACTTCAATTTACATTAAAATTAACAAGTATAGTCTATGCGAACAATAATGTTGAAGCACAAAGTCAAAATTAGAACAAAAAATATATATATGCTTGGCATGCTTATACAGGATCAATACTTTGTCACTTTACATGAAATTTTGTTGCAATATATTGCTTAAACATGTCACAACGACAAACAAACAAATTCATGAAAACAAGTCGAATAAAAAACCCCCAAATTCAAAATTTGGGATTTAACAGTTCGAAAATCGCCCAAATTCAACCAAGAATGAATGAATTATAGAAAATATCAATAAGGGACGAGATCTACTTCCTTTAGCTTCAAAAAGCAAGAAAATCGAAGCTCTTTAGAGAAAGAAGCGAAAATCGTGAAGGAAGGAGAGAGAAAGCGAAATGAAAAATCGCACTCAACGATTTTCTTTTTGCTGACTTAAATGTCGCGTGCAACTGAATTAGTTGCGCATGACAGACCAACGCAACTCAAAACGATGCGCGCGCTTGGCCAGCGCGACCTACTGAGTTGCGTGCGGATATCGGTAACTAAAATGGTCGGTATCCAGATTTTGACCCGTTTGATCATTTTCTCACCGATTTTTGCTCGTTATTAGACGTAATAGCGGGCAAATTATCAAAATCTTTTAAAATTTCTTTGCATATTGTATTTTGTTTTCTTCTTTTCCAGTTTTTTACATAATTCTTGCATGCACACCGTGCTTTGTGCCTTCCCTAAGCATACGTTTTGAACGTTTTTCGTAAGAGTGCCTGAAGACGTTCCGTGGTGGTACTTTACGTAAAAGCATCCATAGATAGGTTTGTCATTTTACTGTAATGACGTTACAAATGTCCGGGTTTTCTTCTTTTTTCACGTCCAAAGCAAAAAGGAAGGCGTTTTCATGCAGCGTTAAAATGCAAATGGCGTATCGTATGGCGCAAAATTGTACGGCATAGGTTTTGCGTAAAATTTCACTCAGCCCAAGCTTTGCGAGATCTACCTCTCGAAACTAAAAGGTAGAGAATTACTGTAGGTGTTAGCTCACGAGTCGACAGGCGCACCGAACCTTCAGGAACAGGCACTTCTTGAATGGGAGCAAATACGGTAGTTAGTGCGCATACTAACTTACTGGACAATTAGGGTGTCGAATCCATCCCTTGTATAAAGAAGCGACGAGACAATGTTGCGCCTATGTAGTCACGTGCTCCTAGTCCTAGTCCTAAGGCACGTGTACTCATCTTGTGGAAAAAACTGATGAGAGAGTTGTTTACTTTCTTCCCTCTCACTGAATTTGGATATATACCTCCAGTCCTGAGACATGTATTTTTATCTTGTGGACTTTCAGCTCGAATACTGGACCATTTCGGCTCTAATACCGAAAACCCCTTTTTCATCTTTTACTTTGTTAAAGTCAGGCTAAAGTTTCAATGACATATCGAGGGACTTTAGACTAACGATGACGCGATTGAGAGGAAATCTTCCCCTTTTTTTATTTTTAAAACCGATCTCTTCTCATGACTTGACATCATCCAGAACACCTTTACTTATAAAAGCGCTCTACAATTTTAAAGGATCAATCTAGATTCTTTAGCGCGTTAAGACTAGGAAAAACTTTTTCTAGCCATAATAGCTACTTGTTTCAAACACTTAGCGAACAAAGTGGGGGCTAACTGTAGACACCTACTTTTGGCCTCTTGTCCCGAAAGGAAGTGCGATGATGTTACAAAACTCCGTTCCTCATGTGAGATCAAAGTTAAAATGTGTATGGACTACGAAAAGCATTATAAAGTAAGTTAAAACCCATTTTGAGACCAAGTTCTCTTAGAGATTTGTCCGATAACTAATTAGGCCTAAAACGTGTTCATACATGATTAAACTTGATTAATAACGGACCCAAATGCGTCAAATGCAAGGATTGGATCCAATGGAACCTACATTGTTGAAAACCGAGCCAAACATGTAAACCAACCATAAAATTCAAATTCAAGGCCTATATAGATGGATATCCCTTTCAAAGATATTTCCAACGGTATAATATAAGCCCAATTCCGTGCCAAAACGAAGAAGTTGTGATCAAAACACTAAACCGGGCCCTAAAACCGACACCCTTGCACTCCAACGGCCATAAATTTTGATCCATAACATATTTTGACCTAACTTTAACGGCATTGGAAAGTAGACATTCAGAGATTTCCAATGATATCTCACACGCCTTAATCCGACTCAACAATCAAAAGTTATGGAAGTTTTAAACACGCACTGTCGTATAAGGCAAACCGCAAACCAAAGCAACTCAATCAGTTGCGCGCGCCTTGCGCGCGACTCATAGAGATGCGCGCGGCACCCCAGAGAGACT